GCTCGCGGCTGAAAATCACCAGCATGCAAATGAGGCAGGGTAACAAAAGTAAATTGTATATAAAACAAGTAATCAGTTGTATTGGCGTATTTATTGATCCATAAATCAGTGGTCGGATTGATTAGGGTCAGTATGACCCGATATAATTATGAGATAGCAGAGACACGAATTAGTCGGAATACTAATATTCTCCCAGTCGGTCTTGGGTTGACAAAGATGGTGGAATGGTCAGCGCAAATAATTAAGTCACGACTTCTAATTCATATATTCCCAATTTCTGCAATAAAGTATTATACGGCGAAAAGTCAGCGCGAATAATTGAATCACGAGTTCGAATTCGTCTACCTGCAATATTCATAGTGGATCATTTTATTTATCGGCGAAAGGTCAGCGCGAATAAATCAAATCACGAGCCTTCTTTGTCTGATCCTAACGCTCATGTTCGATTTTATAAAAAGGCGAAAAGGTCAGCACAATTCAATAGGCTCGATAGTTTTATTCGGCTAATTCTACGTTCGCAATAAATATTATTAGCGAAAGGTCAGCGCGAATATCCTAAATCACGAGTTTTCTTGGTCTGATCCTAACACTCACGTTCAATTTACGAAATGGCGGAAAGGTCAGCACAATTCAATAGGCTCGATAATTTTATTCGGCTAAATGGCGGGCAGGTCAGCGCGATTAAATTAATCAATAGTCAAAGATCGCTTTTCTTCTCCTCTTTCCCAGAAGAAATGTTATTATTGGTCGGTATGCTAATTCGGATATCGGTAGCGCCCTCCGAATATTTTATCATTGGTCCGTATGTAAATTAGAAGGATACAGCGCCCTCCTTAACTCTCCTACTTTCGTCGTTATTTACCCTCTCTCACCCCCCCCACTAAGGTAGCTATCATTAATTGACGGAAAAGATCTACCCCTACTCTTATCTATTTTTCTATCCGGACGGAAATCAAATTTTATTCTAATTCGCTTATTGGTCGTGACGTCACTAGCGAATTTCGTTAGAGGTTCGAATTCTGTCAGTTAATTTATTAATTCAATTTAACGGGGTAGTTGTCGCTCGCTATTATAATAGGGGGTGTGTCGGTCGCATGCGAATTTTATGATTCGGTATTTATTCCATGTTCATTATAATTTTAATTTTAATTCGTTGTGAATACATATATAATATACGTCGTTTCAATTGTAGCGCCCCCATCCTCGCATTTACATATTATTCTATTCATCATTTCATATCATTCGTCTCGCTCGCTCGCTCTCAGTCTGTCTTGGCGCTTCAAAATGGCCGCTCGGTCTCTCGCGCGTACGCCTCGTGTTCCCGTATCGGTTGTTGGAGCACCTCCTGGGGCGCTCCCGTGTCGGTTAAGTGACGTGTTCCCGGATTCGTGTGTGTGGTTATCGCTGTGGTTGTGTGTGGCGCTCAGGATGTCGCCGATGGTGTTCGGCAGCTCGACCCTGCTGATTGCCGACTGCCACCTCATCAGCGATTTTCTGCTTGCCCCAGGAGTGTCAGTGTTCTGTGAATGTTAGTGTTGGTGCCTGGGAGTGTAACGGATATGCATGTGCCATCAACATGCATTTCCGTTGCATTTCCCAGTGAAGTTTTCCCGTTTTTCTTTCGCCGGTCGGCAACATGTGGTCGGGAGTGAGTGTGTGCGTGCGTTCTCTTATTTCGTGGTGCGCTCCTTTTTTTTTTCTTTCGAGTGTCCGTCGGATCACTTTCATAGAGTTTGTTTCGCCAATATCTCCGGTGTGGTTGTTTGGGCATGAAAAAGGGTAATCGTTTTTTATAGGGCGCGTTTGTTTTTATTTTACGCAACTGGTTACGGGGCGGTAAGGGACGGGAATGGCTTTTCTGAGGTGTTGCAAATAATGCAGCGCTCAGGAAAGGCCTTGTAATGTACCGCATTACAGAGTTCTCTTCGAGAAGTTTTCGAATCTTCGAGAAATATTCGCGAATTTTGATAAATGAATTTTCTTAATTTACAAGTAAATAAACATCAATACTTAACTTTCAACACATGTAAACTTTACAAAATTAGTTATTGGTCGATTGAGTGTAATTTTCATTTATTACAAATAGTATCGTCAGAAGTTATTAACTAATAAAGTTAAGTAATGCGATATTACAATATTTACAATAGAACAATATTAAATTTTTACATAACTTTATCGTTTATCAATTTTAGAAGTAATTTCTAAAAAGAAATATTCAAATTAGTTAATAACATTTGAATTATAACAAATTTTCATATTTGTAACGGTTTTTTCTATAATCTTATAACGTAATTACTAGATTAATTATTTAAGATTTATAAATTCTAAAGCTATCAGTATTATGTATAAAATTATCGCTTTCGTTCTATATACAACTTAATGTTTAAATAAATTGTTGATTGTTTATTTATTAATAACAGTTATTGTTACACTGTTGTTAACGAAACTAATTCTTACTCATGTTCTTCAGATATTCATTTTGAATATGGAATATTTACATTTTTCCAATAATTAATATTCATAGTGTAATAAACAAATTAACTTTGCATATAAAAATTCCTTATTATTTAATAATTAAACGCAATTCGTATTATTATATTCTAAATCTATGTTCTAAAATCTATATATGAAATGCTTTGTTATATCAAAATTACGTCTAATTAACATATTTTATTCCAATAACAAAAATCATTATATCTATATCTATCAATCTGTGACGTCACGATCCTTACATGGTCATGAAATTTGACTCTTATACTAAGACAATCGAATAATAGGTGAGGTGGCGCCGTTTAAGATGCTAAATAATGTAAACAGATAGATGAGTTTGACGGGTTGCAGTAATACAGTGAAATAATAAACTAACTCATAGATAGGACCGTTACACGTCATAAATCAATGGTTGAACGAGTGAAAAAGCAAAATAAAAGTTTTACCGAATAAAGTTGTTTGCGACGATGACTTGGCTTTGCTCTATTCCATGTGTGAAACTTTGAACGATTGTTCGTACAAAATGTATTTATCGACATGCTTATCAATTCTGCTCAAATATAAAAATACACCAACGTTGAAGTGTCTAATGGGTCTAAAAAGAATAGACATTATAAAAACTCCTTCTAACTGGAAATGTATGAAAACAAAAAATAGCTAAATTTTCACAGATTTTGTAACGAGGACAATAGTTCTGGCTTTAGTATGTGAAACGCTGCAAGGAGTGAGGAACGTTCTACTTGCAACATTCATTATTTTTGAAAGTAAGACGATGGCGCAGAGATCTATATGTGACTTGAAATATGAATGGTTGATGGATGATTTGGAAAATTCATGGACGACCGTCTCGCCGAAGATAATGTTGCCATTCTTTTTCTCGTCTTGCTAACAGTGACAGCTCGGCGATCATTAAAGCTCTGCACTTTTACACGTTGCTTTGCCCAGTTAATTTTCTCCTGGAAATAGATTAACAATTTTAATTTCTTTCTCTGTTCCTCCAATTAATTGAGCACCTGAAACAACGAATATTCCATTACTGTCAATCGTTCGAATGAAGGACGAAGTATGGTGTTGTAATCCGTCATTATCCATCATTAAAGTCTCAATATCGAATATACAAAAGTATATTGATCCACTTGTATATTGATACACATTATTTGAAAAGTATATTGATACACATTATTTGATCCACTTGTCAAATATAAGAAATGCTACTACTCGTTTATGTTAACAAGTTTTACTTTACGTAGTACTATATTGGCAGGTTTGTTACCAGCCAAGCTCTCCTTGCTCGGTTGTTGGTGGGATTAAAGTTGATGTAGTCATGTCACCTGTGCCAGATAATGTACTCGCGGCCTGGGACCACAGCCTCCTTCACATTAAGCCACAGCGTGTAGAGCTGGGTGAAATCACCGTCTGCAATATTGAATATGAACTGTTGCTGAGCTTTCTCACATTTCCATCTTTGTTCTCTTTGTCCTTGGCGTCGTTATCTCTTTTTTCGTTCTTTTAAATGTAGGATTCACCGCGGTTGTCTACTGTACCATTCTCAAACGATCTGCCCTCTGAAAATGCATGCCAGTTAATAATGCTGTACCTTTCTTTCAGTCAGCTACTTGCATATGAGTGGAGAGATAAGTTAAATAATAGAGTTGTTTTTCATTAAATAGATTGACAAATGTTACCTTCAAAAAATAAGCATGTTCGAAAACACTAGCAAATGAACTTTGTTTAGCTGATTCGTTGAATAGCTGAGAAACTTATTGCTCAAATACTCCAGTCAAACAATATTTCCCTGAAAGTTACGAGATGTATATGAAAAAAGTCATCTACCGTGTAAAGCACTCAAATCAGTATCCGGTACTTACACTGTCGATACACGAAACTAGAGGCAGAGTGCCTTAATTCATTATGTAATTAGTAATAAGTATTTAAGTAAGTAAGTGTCTTAATTAAGTATATAATTAATCGCTGCTGCAGATAGCTCTGCTCAGTCGACAGTTCCGTATGTAAATAAACATAAAGGTTAGGTGATCATGGCCGACGGCAGCGGTGATGTACGTATAGGGGTAGGGGCTCGGCAGCTCAGCTCGCATGTGCAGTGCGTCGTCAAAGGGTATACCAACAGTAACAGCACTATTTTATTGTTTATTTATTCCAGCCATTTAATTAGTAGATAATTGAAAAAGGAATATAGAAATCGGAAGAAAAAATTAGGAGCATTCGATTGGCTTAATCATATTTCGAATTGCTCATCCGTAGGTCAAGATAGGGATTAAAAACGAATCAACACCAGCAACTACAATTTTATTTTTTATCTGGTAAACTATAAAAATAGAAAATTTTTTGGACGGAATAATGGGAAGAGCATTGAAAATACTGTGATATGCTATTTTTTTTTATTTTCTAACGTTATGGTTGCCAGATCGACGGAGCTCCGAAAGAACGTCGCATTCGCCACAAACCACAGACCTTACGTGTGAAGTAGAAGCGAAAATTGTGAGGTCTGAAGTCAACTGCAAGAAGCTTTTTGAGGATCTCTTCCAGAATTGCCCAACCCTGAATAATAGCATTCTTTTTGTTTATGAATCTTCAATTTATATTTTAAATTTGTACATTTTTATTACAATATGCCATATAAATACATTGGTCGTACAACTGACTTTAAAGGAAAAACTTTATGGGAGATTTTAGGTAATTTAAAAAATTTTGGTATTGGAAGAATAGTTGCTCGAAACAGATTTCAAAGATATTCAGAACCATGCTATAATAAAATTTTGAAAACAGAAGTTTTACAGAATCCTAAACCTTCATATGATGTAAGTATTCAATCTTGTAAAACTATAAGAAAAAACTTATTAATTTTTCTGTTAATAGGAACAACGTAAAGTTATAGTTTTAGTGGAAAATATATTTCGAAACTTGAAAAACAATCAGCCTGTTCAAATAGAATCAGCATCTTATAAAACAGATTATTTTCTTGTACCTAAATATAAAGAATATGAATTTTGTAAAAGTTTTTCATATCCTATAAAAATTTTTCCTCATTCAATGGAACTACCACCTCTTCTAAAGGAAATAATACTAAAAGAAATGTCAGAAAATACTTTTAATGCAGAAGAATTGAAAATGAAAATTGTGTACAATCTTACTGGATTTAATAAAAGTTATCAAGTAGCCACAAAAAGTGAAGTTCCTACAGAACAATTTAATATAGGTTTAGGAAGTCCAATTGCACCTAGATTGTATGAAAATATAGTTTGAAGAGATGTAACTATTTTATAATATCTAATCTTCTGTAAAACATTTACTATTAAATTTATTGTATTAATTTATTGTATTAATTATTGTGAAAAAATATACAAAAACTTTTCGTTGGAATTTGTATGGTACTATATGAAATAAATCAGTTTAATAATATTGCTTCCTAATAAAGGATTGTATTGTTTTATTTAATAAAATATATTTTAGATTGAAGAGAAGAGTAACTTAATTAAATTTATTATTTAACTTTATTAACTTAATTCTACTTAAAATATTTCTGTGTGAAGAATAACATTTTTTTAAAATTACTTATTTTGGATTTAACCCAATATTAAAAGATGAATAAATATATAACTATATTATGTAAAATAATTTGTGTCAATGAATGTTTAAAAATAAGTATGTAAAAATTTTAGATATTAATGTTTTAATTTTTAGGAGACTGGTGCTTTACTTTTTTTTTAACAAAAAACATCTGAGTGAAATAAAATAAAGTTCATATTTATTGTTCAATTTAAATTGTGCAGAATAAATACTTATATAAGCTGAATACTATCATTTTATAGTAATTTCAAATCGGTTGAATATCTTATTTTACTTTAGAAACAGTTGTTGATCGGTAGAGAAATAGTATTTTAATTTTTATAAATATGTACTTTATGTCTAATTTAACAAATAAATAAAATATTCTATCCATGTTAGTCACTGATTTCATTTGTTTGCAAACTTTTGTGTTGCTGTCTGTTTGGAATTACCTTCTATTTATTTATAATTGGTTTAACCCATTTAAATTTGAAAGTATTGTTTATTCAAGATTGAACAGTCTTTAAATGAAATATTGCAAAAGAAGATACATGCACAAAATATAAAAGTAGTGTTAACTTAGTTAAGTTGTATAACTTACAAAAGTATAACAGTTTTACTAAAAACAAAAGTGACTATTGATGTTCAAGTAAATATGAAACTATTAAATTAATTTTAATCATAATGAAAAGGATGACAGATTAGATGGAATTTCTTATTAAGAAAATACTGAATTCGTTGCTTGGACAAAAAGAAATAGGTATCATTGTGTTCTTTGCAATTTGAATTAAGTGCATTTTTAAAACATTTGTATATTTTATACACAAATATGTAATTATAATTTCATAAAGCTCAGTATATATTTTTAAATCTTGCAAAATAAGTTCTAAAAAAGATGTCACAATAAGGTAGAGAAGAGTAGTCACTTTTAAATTCAAATTCAGTTTTTCACTGAAAGATTTAACTTGATTTAGCAGAACTATATATATTAATTGTAAATTGAACGAAATTATGTTTTTATTAAATGCATCCATTATACAATATGAAGTTGAAGGTTCACGTACAAAAAATTAGTAAAAATTTATTTATGACACATAAAAGCACCAGATTTCATTATATTTATTATAATTTTTGTGAAACTAGATCAAATCTAGGAAGATTGACTAACAAGTAAGTAAAAGTGTTTCTAAAACAATTCATTAATGAATAACAAATTTATTGTTTGAATATTGAAAAATATAATTATTATTGTAACTTTTGAAGAGGTCACATATTCTTCATTCCATAACAAAAGTATCGCTTCGTTAAGATATATAAAACATACACAATAGAATTAACAAGAGTATTGAAATGAATGAGTCAATTGGCCAATGAAGCTATTAAGTGAAATTATAATGTCTCGAGTTTCATTCCATTTTTTTTTTAAATATGAAAGAACTAACATGTTTGTTATGAAATAAGGAATTAATAATTTGTGGCTCCTTCCAAAATATTATTAAGATTATGTATAAACAATTTATGGCTATTTAAACATTTAATTAGTTGATAACTAGTCACCTGTTAATTTCTTTATATAAACTGTATAGTTGCTCTTAATTATAATTATAAGCATGAATCACATAGTGTTATTTAGTTTTTATGTGTTAATTAAGTGAACTTTACATTCATCTTCGTTTTTGCTTTTAATGGATTCAAATGTTAATGTTAGTCAAGTTTATTTATGCAATAACACTGTCATTGTGGCATGTTTGATATAATTTGTTTACACCCTATTATCTGGCCACTAGTATTACTTGTTAAAGTAAGTTTATGTCAATCACTAATTTTGATTTTGAAGCATCAAAATAACTAATAAGATATGATAAGTTTTTATGTTATTTTATTTGAATAAATTTAATGTCAGCATACATGAATAAATAAGACGCAATTGTTACAAAACCATTCAATATTTCAAAGAATGAATTATGAAAAAATTTTGGAAATAGCATAGTATCCCTGTTGAAAAAATTCAGTAGGATTTTCAACTGAAATTTCCAGCTGAATTTCTAGCTGGAGTTCACTGGATTTCCACCTGAATTTGACTGGATTTACAGTTGAATGTTCAACTTAATGTAGGAGGATTTTTAACGCTGTTGAAAAAATTCAGTAAGATTTCCAACTGGATTTAACACTGAATTTACAGGTGCAAAACCTGCACTGAATGGATTTTGAAAAAAAATTAGAAATGCAATTAGTTATATTGTTTTTATCTTATTTTAATAAATAAAATTTTTATTTTAAGTTAATAAATAAAGTTTTTATTTTAAGTTAATAAATATTGGTTAAATTAATAAATATTACACTATTAAAGTAACTTCATTTGTTTAATTTCTAGTTCGTAAAGTCATAAGTATATTTTATAAATATACTACATAATGGTAACGTGTACGCTTTTTAAACACATTGAAAATACTTTTCAAAGATAATTCTGTATTTTTATGATCACATTAATATCATACATGAAGGAATAATACATTAGTCTTGAAGTATCATTAAACTATCTTTCGATTTGTAATTTAGAGAGGAATATACTTTTTTTAACAATATTTTGAATAATTGTAGTTGAATAAAAAGAAAAAAATAATTCGCATTATATTATTTTTCTATTAGAAAAATAATCTTGATAACAGTCAAGTGATTAAAATAATAAGTAGCCACATAGACGATTATTTTACATTATAAAAAACATTTGAAATATAAATATCGACAGCTGTGAATAGACTGAAGAGAAACAACTATTACTAAAAGAAAAAAAAAGTTAAAGTACGATTTGTACTTAAATCTAATAATAACTTCTTGCATACATTACTGCACATTGACTTTTTTGCGCATACTCTGAATGCAAGCATTGATTTCTTCCGTCAAGTAAGAATTTCTTTCAATTAATATTTCTTTCATAGATGGTTTTGCTTGGCTTCTTTTCTTTTTGAAATATAAAAGCCATCCCGTGCAAGGAATTATTTATAAATAAATATATATATAATGAGGAACGGTTGGAATGATAATATATGTTCGTACTGTCTAAAATATCAAGTTCAAGTGAATCAAAAGGCTTTCTACAGTTTTTCTTGTTTGGTGTAACCTTCGTTGAGTGAGTTTGATACATTTTCTTGCACGATCTTCCTCAGAAGGGTACATGTGTTGAAAAATCATTTTCAAAAATTATTTTGCTTCTTTTCTTATGTATTTTTCCCAATTCTCTAAGAGAATTTTGAGTTGATCAGTTATTTCAAATACTTTTATCTGTAACAGATCAATAAATATACATTATAGATTGTTTATTTATATTTCAAAAATTATTTACTATTACTTTTTTGTCAAAGAGAAATCATAAGTTCAAGCACGTGCATAAATAATTGAATATTAAATAAATTAATTAAAAAAGTCAATTTAATAGATTTATTAATATAGGAGATTATATAATTACCTTGTATCCCTGCATCGATGATTGTATTTTTGTATCCAAAATTCTTGAAACGTGGATCAATTGATGGTAAAGAACTTGCTTCTGTGTTGTTTGATTTATTATCTTCAAAATCATGGTTACTTTTTGCTTTTTCATTAGACTGGGGCATCTTGTGTGTAAATAATTTCTTGGAACTAGAAATTCCTGCTGCTAGTGTTAGAAATTCGGTTTCACTAAGACCGACATACTGAGGTTTCTTCAATGGTAAGTCAAACGAGTTTTCTTCATCATAATCAAAAATTATCCCTGCAAATAATAGAAAATTTCATTACAACGATTATTTAACAATGTTTTTACTTGTTTATTGATTATTATACTTGCTTTTTCTGGGATTCTGTGACTTGAACAAAATATGGCTGTTCTTTGGTGATATTGTTACTGATTCATTGATGTCTTGTAGACTTTCTAACACATTTGAATTTAAAGATGCAGATGAGTCTTCGATAGGTTTATAGTTGTGCTGGTTCTTTATTTCAGAATTTTTTTGTTGGTTATATTGCCGCTGATTGTTGCGGCTTTCGTAAAGACATTTTCAGATTTTATTGAAGAGTACAAATTAATTATATATTTATAAAAGTATATTAACTTGATTTTGGAGTTGAACTAAAGTGATTAAGCGTATACAAATTTCTTGGAACAATTTTATTTTCAGCATTGCTACGTCCTTGAATTCCTACGTTTATCAAACTTAGCGAATAATTTAATTCATGTGCATACATAGGTTTCATAGGAGGCGTCTTTTCCAATTGATTGCTACCGTGTAGAATGCTCTGCAAAATTTAATTTATTTACTATCTTAATATAAATACTGATATATAATTACAATTGTATATATATATATATATATATATAAGCAAAACACAGTAGTTTTATAAAAATTAGAAATTAATAATTAAAATTAATAATTAAAAAGTTATCTTTTACCTCTTTCGACATAAGTATTTCATTATGGCTTTCAATACGAGTATTGACAGAAATAATTGCATTTTCATCGACTTTGAAGCTTTTTAATAAAGATAATTTTTTCTTCAAAACTTTACATGACTCTTCACATTGAAGTAATTGAAATTGTAATTTTTCATTAATTATTTTATATTTTTCAGTTTTCTTTTTTTCAATGATGAGATTCTCCTTGTGCCTAAGACACACTAGTTCCATAGCATCTCGCTCAACAGTCATATTCTTCACAATTTCTTTTAAAGACAAAATTTGTTCATTATAAAAAGAAAGAGAATTTTCTTGTACTATTTCGATCTTTTTATCATCTACAATGATATTGTTGTTACTTTTTATATTTGTTTCTTGCACTTCTTGTTGATGTAGATCTATTTCCATGTCTGCACTTGTTTCCATAAATTTTCTCATTTTAAAGTTGAAAATTTGTGCATCTAAATTGGTTCTTTGCTACAGCATTACTAACATCACAAAATAATATAATATCAATACATTTTTTTACTGTTTTTTGAAATAACGTGCTCACTTTTTGATCCAAGATCTCTTCTTGCAATTTTTTGTTGTGTTCTTTAACTCTTTTTTTCGTTTCTTTATCTTCAGCGTTGATTTTTTTCTATTTATCAATATTTTCAATTGACACGTTTGTTGCATGATCTTTTTGTAGATATTCATCTATGACTGAAGTATTTAAGCGTGGAAAATTTCCTCTTTTGGCCTTGAAATGAGATAATTCTTCATCCTCTTCTAAAGAATTAAAAACTGTGAATATAAAAAAAAATAAATGTAGTTATAAACTTAGTCTCAATTAAATTTTATTACAACCATAGGAACCTCACCTGCTAAGCCTCCTATTTATACAGGTACTAAATTTTCAAAACCCTTCTCATCAGCCAGTTTGCACTCATATACTTTCTGCTCTTCATAATCATTACAATCACAAGGACGTTTGTCTTGGAAATCAACAACATCCGATATTTTTACAACTGTAATCTTCTTATTATTAAAAACTAATCTGACTTTTACGTGCGTTGGTTCAGTCACAGAACAATAAGTACGTTCAGAGGCATAACTCATCTTTGTATCATATTTGTACCACAGACAGAAGATTCAAGTGTTTTGAAATTTATAAATTTAAAATTTCTCCATTCATTGACGAATATTTAAAAATGAAATATTTTCCAGAAATCACAAAACAAAAAGTCAAAGTATACCTGAGCAAGTGTAAGTGAAGGAATAGCATAAAATACATCAATGACCGACCATGCAACTGAGATGGAAAAACAGAGTTTATACCCAGTGTTAAATAATTTATTAAGAGAACCGATGATGGTGCTGAGATTGAACTGGAATAAGATAAAAATAAAGTACTTTTGTTAAAATTTTTGTAAATACGCTAGTGTAAATACCTCTCTCTTTCTCTCTTTCTCTCTCTCTCTCTCTCTCTCTCTCTCTCTCTCTCTCTCTCTCTCTCTCTCTCTCTCTCTCTCTCTCTCTCTCTCTCTCTCTCTCTCTCTCTCTCTCTCTCTTGTATGAGGTATTCCAAGAAGCTGTGTTAAAAGATAAATGGGAATTTTCTTAGATATCTATGATATTAACTTAATGCTATAATACTACTAATCGTGACATGATTTAAACTTTGGTGTTGCTAATTTCTAAATACAAATTTTTTTAATACACTAGCATCTAATACAGCTGTAAATTCAGGCTTCAAAAGCTATTCGATTGATAGAAAAAAACCATCAAACTTATATACTTACGATATAAAGACTGTTCTTCTTCAACGACTTTTTTTCAACAAATTGACGTTGAAAAAGATGAAATAGCTAAGTTGGTTACTAATACCAGTGAAATTTATGGCTTCACTCCCACCAGTGCACCACGAGAATACTGCTGCTGCGCGCCACTGTCTGCGTGTATACACTCTACAGCTACACCACAGACATATAAAGTATAGACCGTCAGTCTCTTGGATATGCCGACGCTCCAGTGTAGAAAGAGAGAGAACGAGCCGAGTGAGCACATCTGTCTCTTTCTAATAGGGTCACGTGGGCTCTCTTCGCTCGAGTATACTTTTGGCGCGTTCAGCCGTGCCGTTCAAAAGCGAACATTGCAAACAAATTTTGTTTAAGTATGCGTTGATCGTTAAAAATCACCTTTGTTTAATAATTGAAAACAAAATGTAATGTAATTATTCCCAGTTATTTCAGCAATTTGTTTCGTGATGAGTTTATATACTACTATCAATGTTGCTATATCACTTGCAATGATAGCTGTGCCTTTTAAGGCATCATGACTTTTGCACTCGCGCATTAGAATCGTGGGTTCAAATCGCTCTCACAGATTTTTTTTAATTTCTAAATTAACATGTCAACATTGCACTTTTATTTATTTTTTATTTTTATCAACACACGACAATAGTTTAATTTAATTTATTTCAAGCAATCGTACCAACGACCTTATTTTTAGCTACTTGTTTCTTGCTGTTTATCATACTCCATTTTATTCTCTCCTGCCAATATTTCTTATTACTAGATGAATGAATAAAAAAAGATATATATTTTTAATATAATAGTTTTATGCTGTTTTCGTTGCATCCCTCTGGTACGTATACTATTTTATAACTTTCATCTTGAGATTTATATTATATTCGTTTTATGCCAAACAATCAATCAATGTAATTAATCGTAATCCCAAGTACTTTAAGTTAAGCTCCTGCACCTACAAATTTATATATAACTTCCAATACAAACCTGTCATATGCATTGTTGGACGTGCAAGTTAAGGCGCCATAACTTTTTGCATACGCACACTCGAGTCCTGGGTTTCTAATCTTTAGTTAGGCATATTTTTTTTCTAAATAAATATTGGTATATATTATTATTGTTGTTGTTGTTGTTATTATTGTTATTATTACTTTGTTGTTGTGTCGCGCTTTGCATTTTTATATTCTTTTTTCTATCAAAACATTTGAGCTTTTATTCTTTATAACTTACTTTCTGTATCATAACCTACGGAAACATGCATTTTAGTAGAGCATGCGTACTTTTTATCATTTTCATTTTTATTTGAAGAATGTTCTATATATCTAAATACATTTTTATGAATGTTAATTTACTTCAGATTTGAAAACGATAAAAGAAATTACATTGACGATAAGATCTTGATTTTCTTCTTTTGAAACAGCTTTGTTGCAGTATAATAAATATAATAATTTGGCAAATTGATTATATGTAATGTACAGAAAAAATTCATTATTCAAAACGTAAAACATTTATTATTAACATTAAGCATTTTAAGAACACAATGAATTTTGTAACAGGATAAAATATTTTTGTAAAATAATAGTACTTTTTAAAATCCATTACCAATGCCCTTAAACACCTTTGAATAATAACAGTTTATTCAGTCTCATTCTTATTCTTTCTTTTTATTCATAGTCTGTTGAAGCTGCATAATGCAGACGAATTTCCAGATATTTTTTTGCAACCATTTTTATTAGTTTGCGACGGGGGAGAGGGAGGGGAAAAATAATAGACGGTATTTCTCCGGTCTCGCACTGTCGCCAGCGGCGCGCAGTCAGCCGAGACAACGTGTACAGCTTTTATTTATTATGTTGGGCGCCAGCTACCGTGCTCTCGCGTTAGGAGAGCGTGGTAGTGCTGCAACGTTGGCTGGTTCTCGGCTCGGTGGTCCTGCTGGTCGCTGTGAGGTCGGGTGGTTCCCCGTTGCCTCCCTCCTCGTCGCCGTCGGTGTTCTTGCGCGCGTGGCCGGCTATCACCTGTGAAGAATGAAGCGGGGGCGCGAAGTCCTAGGCGACGATTCGGTCGAATCTAGATCGTATCGAGCGAAGGAGAAAGAAGGGGGCAACGGGTGGTTTCCAAGGCCACCCACGGCTGCGGCTCGTTCGGCTAGCTAGAAGATTCGGGGCATGGCGGCTCTTAACCCAGAAGCGGGTACATCAACGGAGGGCGTCATAGGGGCGCCCCGACTGACGGACTAGTGGTTCAGGGGGGGGGGGGTAGCTCCTTCCCTGCTGACTGGTGGCGTGGTGGCCGCGGCGGCGGCTATTGGCTAGGCGGTGATCAGGGCAGTCGCGTACGCGCTTACCAATCTCAAACCGATCGCGAAAGCTACGGGGGATGGGGCGATCAAGTGGGTGTAGTCAATAATAAGTCGGATGTAAAGATAATTCGGATTTATTATGCAAAAAAGGATTTCCCGGGTCAACCCCAGTGGTCTATCCCTCGCGATGGTCAGCCTGGTCTAGGTTACTGGGGGACGCGAGTGGCGTACTACGATGCGAGGCCGGTTTAAACAGACAACGATTCGGTTGAATGTTTCGGACTTCGGATATGATTCGAATACGTAACGTCGGTTTGTTTATTCGCGGCGGAAATTCCAGCCCGTTCGAAACAATTGCGCTCAGGAATTCAGTCGGTCGCGCGAAGGTTAGCTACTGTTCGCGGTGTTGACGGTACTTATAGCGATGCTCGGGAACAAAATAAAGGCGACGATGTATCTGAATTTTGCCGGTCGGATGAAGGTCTAACACGACTCGTGTGATGTTTAGATCGACTCGGAAAGGAATTTGTAGACACGCACTCTGGGGGAAATTCGTTTCACGAATGATAGCAACACGGCGACTCACGACGACGCTCAGAAGGTCGGTGTCAAAAACATGTACAGCAACGGCAGCGGGCGCGCGAAGGTCATACGGCATACCCGCGCGCGAACATTCGGCGATTAGGCGACAATTTCAAACGCAGGGCAATGAGACGACGTAACAAAGAAAACTTGGAGACAACGGCAAACGTTTCGGTCACAAGGCGTAATGCGCGCGAAGGTCATGCGGCACTCCCGAAAACGCGAGCGTTCGGTAATCATGCGACTACCTCAAATTGCGGACAATGATCATACATCGGCTCGGCAAAAGGATTTTCGGTGGTCAGCAATAAGTGGACGAATGCTACTGTCGGACGCGCGAAGGTCGTACGGCACTCCCGAAACGCGGCGGTCGACAATGCGTGGCAAACTCGCGATTATTGGTCATGCAACAGAAAATCAGTAGTAAGGAAAAGGTACTTACTCTTGTTACTTTTTCGGCCGATCACTATTCTGTTTGTTATCGCTGCTCGTTAATCGTTATTCGTTATCGCTATTTGTTATCTCTATGTTATCGCTATTTGTTATCACTGTTCGGACGCTTTTCTCCGCTATTCTCACTCTCGCTATTCTCTTTCTATGCTTATTGCTCTTCACTATTCTTTTCACTATTTTCTCTGTTATGCTCACTTTCGCTATTCTCTCTGCTATGCTCACTTTCGCTATTCTCTATTATGCCTATTTCTTTCACTATTCTCTTCTATATCTATTCCTTTCACTATTTCCTCTGCTATGCTTATCTCTCTCACTATTTCCTCTGCTGTTTTCACTTTCACTATTCTCTATTATGCCTATTTCTTTCACTATTCTCTTCTATATCTACTCCTTTCACCTTTGTACCGCGCAACAGCGAGGCTCGGCGGACTACTTACCGTCGAGGCTTAACGGTTACTACTGGCGCGCCGTTTTTCGGCGACGCGCCGCTTCTCCTAGTTTACTTCCCCTTTGTATTTGTTGATTGGTTGGTTTGTCGCTATGCCGGGTCTCAGCGCCGTCTATATTAATGTTTTTTACCCGCGCAATTTGTTTATTGGTCGGTCCTTCGCGCCTAATTTGCCTACTGGTCGCGAAGATAGCGTCGGTTTTCCCTCATTAGTTCGACCACCCCTAAGCTGATAACGATTGGTCGGTCAACTAGCGTCGCTTGTCTATTCTCTTCTATCTACCGCTCGTTGGTCTTACCGATTCCCCTCGCTCGCTTCCGATCGGTCTAGCATCGGCGGTCTCGCTCGCTCTCACGCGCTCGATCGCTCCTACTTCTAGTCTAGCTATGCCTGCCTAACTAACGGGGGCTTGCGATCAGCTGGTCGCGGCTGGAAACTTTAGGGGCTTCTAGCTCCCCGGGGGATTGTCGGATCGGGTCGTGAGTGCGCGAGGGGTTGTACGCGAGCGTAAGGGTCGTGCGAATCGGTCAGGGGGACTTCTAGAGGTCATAGTTCGCGAGGTCCGGGAGTGCGTGGGCGGGTGTATGGCAATAGACGCTTGGCCGCGCGTTTCTAGTGGGAGCGGGGCTAGCATAAGGCAGCGTGATTTTCAAGTGATGACGCATCATCACAAGTTGCGTGCGATGATCTGATAAAATTTCTTGTTCAAAAACGTGTTCACTTTGATTGAAAATGCTGCATGGTAACACGTGCATTGTCATCAACGCCATTTTTTTTAACACGTTTTTTTCAGTTACACAGATTTGTAATCTGAAGATTCTCTCAGCAATTCGGCAAATCTCAACAACATCGAAAGAAGCAAAAATTAATTTGCCATAGCATTTGCGTCGTTGCAATTTTGATATTGGCAAAACTTTATCTTTCCCACTTACATTGAGTTCTTCTACTTCCAATTGTTTACAACAAGTTAAGCACGAGATTTTTTTTTAATTATTTCACGACACTGCCAGATATTAGGTAACTACATCATTAACGTAGTCGCTTAAATGAATATCATCAAGGAGGTCAAAAATGGTCTGAAGTTCAATAGCATTAATTTCTATTGGGACTTCACCTTTTTTTTTAGAGTTGACATCTACTCTCGCAAGTATTGTGTCGTCGCGCGGCGTACAATTAGCCGATAAAGGAACACTAATACTAACATGCGCAAGTAACTTGCGATACGCTCCTTTGAATTGCCTAGCGGTAGGATTATTGTTAAATCCTCCGAATCTTCTAACGCACGAAAAAAAAGTTTCTAAATGATCCTGTGACAATTTGTATGTTAGCAGAAAGTGAAACTTTGAATAT